AACAAATATTTTCTTTTCTGTTGCTAAAAGTTATACAGAGGCATCCTTGGAATTTGAAGAATAGAACAGCTAAAGGGAACCCCGACATATTTATGCCATTCCAATCAGGGTTGAAAGCGAAGCAGACTTCTGTGCCCTTAAGGGATTCGCCTGTACTTTCCTCCTTCCCTTCGGGTCAACCAGATTGTTTACCCCCACTTCTTGCCTTCCTCCAAGTTACTTACGCTGTTATTCCTCAGGCCACTGAAGCAAGAATCTAAAATCCAGAGAAAAATAAGTTTTCTCAGATAAATAGCTGCCTATAAGAATGTTATAACTATTTCTATCTCACTTCTGAACTAACACGAAACATCGTCGGGCCAAAAATACAATGCTGCAGCCTACATTACATCTCCAGCTGCGTTATTCTGACACTAAAATGGCTTCAGACAACATTTTATTTAATCGCCAAAGAGGTTATCTCAACGGTAACGGTCCTGCCGTCCTATTCAGAGTTATCCTGTTAAAATATCGACAATAGCATAAGGCTTGTTTCTCTTCATAATTTTTTCATGGTTTTTCCCATTTCCTTCAGTAAAATGCAGAGACAGACAATGAATTACGTCACTGTTTCTTCGTCCCCTCTTCTTTCAAGCACATCGTGTGTATTTTTCGATGCTACATACAATTTTTACTTCACGCAATATCATTAAATCCGCTATGAGTAGTAAATGATAAATGTTCACTGCCCACTGACCATGTGTTTAAGCATGGAAGGATACATTATGTAAGCCTACGAACACTCAGTAGTACATGCTGCGACACCATAATCTACTCAGTGAAAATTCTTAATAATACAGATCCATATTTTTAAAATGGCGTACATGTCTGTGTGCCAAGCCTTGAATATCAGTTTCATTACAGCTATGGTTAATAACATTAGCAATTGTCTATACTCGTCCAAGTCAATTTTTTCATCGCATCTGCTCTATAATTATAAGCAAACAGCGTTTTAATTATTAATGGTTTGGTGACTAACGGTAATTTCTTCACTCCTTTGCTATGGCAAATTATGAGAACTTAAACGAGAATTACCCGTCAAAAATGACGAGAAAATAGCAGGCAGTGAACATTTATACTGTCGCATGATTACCTTGTTTCGGTTTTTTTAAATGAGTTCCAAATCATTCAACAGGCATATATCTCAGGTTATAACAACCTAAAATAGTGATTTAAAAAAAAATATCAACTAGCTAATCAAAACATATCATAGGCTATGCATTGCATTCATTGATCAGTTCGTAACACAAATTCCAGGTCCTCTGAATCTATGTTGTTCCTTAACAATCAGTTTCCGACAAACAATTGCATCAATACCGAAAAAAATAAGTTTAAAAATCATGTCCATAAGTTTCGACGAATCTGTGGAAAACATGAGCATATTGTAAATAAGAAGATTAACACGATAAGTAGGTAACAGCCAGTGAAGAAATCTTACGTTGAAACGGCACGCTTATAAAAATTACAACAATCATTTATCTACTAGAATTTTCTTGGGCTAACACGCTAATTTCCAACACCGAACAATTCAAGTTCCTTATAACGGCGTTTGTGACGAAAAATAAGTAACATTTAACACACGTAAAAATTATTCACCGGCAGTTCACGAGCACTCGCGCACATATACTATGCTGATATTAACGAAGTCGAAATTACCGATAATGATGTGTCACAAATAAATACTATGATCAGGTCACCACACATACAACAAAGGAAGAATATGTACATAAAACACGAACAGGTATTAGAACACATTAGTTACAACTAAAGTAGTTGCCCGTTGGAACGGGACTGGTTTCAGATACCAGCTTCTCATAGGTTCGGATTGCAAAATTAGTGTCTGTCATTAACAAAGTGTTTATGTCCCGTTATAAATATTGTCATCTATCAACAGATTATTTTATCGATGGCAAATGTTACAATTAACAGCCCAAACATGCACATATTAGTTGGCTTATATGCCCGCCACGCTGGTCTTGTAATCCTGGGGTCTCGGGTTCGATTCCCGGCGGTGCCCGAATTTATAACTTGTGTTGGGCAAGGCCGTGGTCTAGGCAACACCGAGTTTTCCTCCGGGGGCTTCCCGGTTTCTCTGTGGCATCCCAACAATTACTCCATTCACACACAGAAGAAGGCAATGGCAAACCACTTCTGGGTCATCTGCCAAGAACGTATATGAACAGGTCCCAGTCCGAGAAAAGGATGGAAGGATCCTGTTCATATGGACCTGTCGTCAGACAGAACACTAAATAAATAATAAAATGCCCGCATATATTTCAGAATAACTTTCGTCTCCATCTACAAAGGCACTCTGAAGATGAAAGTGATATATTCCCCCTAAAATCGATAAGCATCCACGTGTGAAAGTGAGGTTGGTACTAAGAAAGAACAGTCTTTAAAATGTGCACCGTATCGTATATACATCAGTTGATTAAGTGTTGTTAAACAAAGACTAGACAGGTAAACGACATTTTAAAGACTTTAATGGTCAATTCCGCGACCCAGTTCAAAACAGAATGGCAAAACCTAACCTAACTCCACCAGCTTGACAAAAATATACACGTATTAAAAAGCGATGTTTTCTCTTGTAAGAAAATAATTCTTACGAACCTGATAAATTGAAATCAACTCCTTGACAGAGAGTGGTATAGTCGCAGACATTTTACACTTCTTTCTGCAATTGTTCCACTTGACAGACGTCTTGATATACGGTTGGGGCGATAACTACTGGGAAGTACAATAATAAAATAAGATGACGGGAGATTGTATGGGGCAAATCGTGCAGCGTGGATGCAGGGTCACGGCCAGCCGACAGTCACGAGGAGACAAGGCACCAAGTTCACGTGGACTCCAAACAAATAAGCAAAAAGCGAGGTCCGATTCCCTTGTCCGCAAGCAAGAGCAAGTGAATGGATGTGTGTACCTGCCTAAGTGGTACTCCAGACTGTCAGCACCTGCATTTTCCAAACGAAGTTGTGCAAAGTTAACAGAACTGAACAAAGTTAGAAATCAGTTATTCTTATAGTTCATCAAATATTCACCATGGGGTCCGCAGTGACCGCGCGGTCTGAGGCTTGGTCGCTGGGACCGTGGGGTCGAATCCCACTCAAGCCATGGATGTTTGTCCGCGTTTTTCTGTGTTTTGCTGTCCTGTGTACAGGTAGAGGCCTTGCGACGGGCCGATCCCTCATCCAAGGAGTCCTACCGAATGTCTATAGATCAAGCCAACGAAAAAGTTGGGACCCGCAATGCTCAGGCACTTGAAGAACGGGTCGTTCCCAGTATCCCCAGTAATATTCACCATATAACAAAATTATTTCAAGTAAAATTTGTAGAGTTTAATTAGATCTTCAGTCCATCACTCTGATAAATTCGATCAAGATTAATTTTGGCCTTATAAAGTTTGGACTATACGGACAGAAGGAATACGGTGAACGTTTCGGAGAATCGAATAAGATGTCTGGGTCAGTTTTTAAAAACGTTGCACATTTGCATTTTTGTGCAAAGTTAAGTGCAAAAGTTAACATAATTCATATTTATTGTACCTCCCGAACATTCTCCTTTAAAGCATATACGAGTACGAAAAACGCATGCCGAATGTATAATAACAAACTGTGCAAGTTCAGTAGGCCCAGAAAATATAATCATTCCTATTAAAACAAAAAGCTTTAAAGTTATCACTGTAAGGAGCCATTTTAGGTTTCTGCGGGCGTTCTGTCTCAAAATGATTATTCTGTTCTTGACACACACAGACCTACAGTCGGGATTCACAGATACAATTCAATTTTTTAAAACAAACTGTTCAACAGCATTACTGCATTAGTAATTATATACTAATGTCAGTATATTCGATCCAGATTATTTTTTCCCCTTGAGTAAAATGGTTACCAATCTCTCTCCAGGTTATGTTAGGTTTTGTTGTGTCGTGTTGTACTGTGCAGTGCTGTGTTTTGCACAATTTAGGCTGGTGATACTTCACTTAAATTCAATTTAGCTAATTCTACTTCAGTTCAGCTCCCTCTGTTACAGTTCATTTCGGATTAGATTCTTTTGAATCTCTTTAGGTCCCTTTAGTTCTGCACGAATATAAAGTTCATTTCCATTTATTTCAGCTTACATTCGTTTACTTCATTTCACTTCAGCATATTTCTTATTAGTTCCGTTTACATCCACTTCATTCGGCATTAACTGGCGTCTCAGTCGTTTAATTTTACCATCTAATTTCATCTGAGTATCACCATTGAATTCAGATGATAATGCAACAAAATAGTAGCGATATTAAATTATTTTAATAGTCAATTAAGAATTTTCAAAACTGTGCACAAGAAGACATTCAGAACAGCGTAGTTATGTTCTATGTGCCATATCCATGACCTATCAATTGTTTGTAACAACCTTTCCGCCACTTACACATTTTTCGGAACTTCTCATCCAGAGAGAAATAGATTTAACAGCAAGCTACGATAACTTACAGTAGCTGCAAAATTAACAGTTCCAAACTTGTCAATGGTGGTCCGTCCTTCAGCCAAAACATTACCACCCAACTGGCTACCCTATGTAGGCACCAAGCAAAAGAAATTGTATGAACAGCGATAAACACGACATACAGTTCAAAACTCAGACGGGACACTATCCATCCTGACCTAATTATTTGTGATTTTCCTCAGATTCATCAGACTGCTACAGAGATAATAGCTTGGTACAGGCTGTCACAAGATAACTTCCACATTCCCTCTAACCTATCGTTCTCAATCATATCCACTCCCAAAGTTTTATGAAATAATTTGTGTCGACGTCACAGTCATCAAATTATCCATTCTTATCACAAATGTTGGGCAGTCATAAATGTTGGTTCTTGCAAAAAAAATTCAGTCTTATTAGAGTTGTTTTCCTGAATTTCGTATTCGTTTGTATTCCACCACTGTTCTGGCCAAGGAAGAAGAATTTCAAGCCATGTGAGATTGTATGTTTTCAATATACATTTAATGCCGGTAATTATTAGCATCACTGGATTGAAATCGTAACTTCTCGCTTTTGTTGCATTCTCCGTTTTCTGCTCAGAATTTAATTTTCCAAACAACGCAAGAAAATTCCACCACAAATAAAACTTATATTGTTTATATTTAGGTTGTCACTATCTCTGGCTCAGACGTACAAATATTTGCTCATTACTGATGAAGGGACTCTTTTATACCTCAGCACTTTACAGTTTGACTCTGGTGATTCAGTGTTTTCTTCGCTTTAGCGGTGAAGCGAAGATTGCCGTCATCAGGTTACACAGTTCAAGAATCCGGAGTGGATTTTACCGGGTGTTTTAAATATCACTTCACTTCAGAGTTTATACAGAGAGGTGTTAAAGTAAACGACTTCATTCTAAACATCAGGCCTATAAAAATTAAACACGATAAGCTATAAAGCACACACTAAGACTGCCTGATCGATTCTCAAAAAGTAGAATGTTATGTTATTAACATATATTTTAAAACAATTAATGTTAAAGCAAATAGTTAAATCGGTAAAACTGTGTAAGAAGCATAGAATTTAGAGAAAATGGTGTTCCTATATAGAGGCATTCACCATTAGTGTCGTATGGATTGGCCTTGTCTCGAACCGGGACAACAACATTTTTATACATCGGATCAAACCGGTTCAGAGTCCCTGCACAGCATACACAGTTAGGGGTGCAGCTTAGCCGCCATGTAAACAAGCCAGCGAAAGCAATTCACTAGACTACATGTTTCCAGAAAAGAGATACGACAGGGGAGGTGATCCACGTTCTATATTAACATAAAGGACATGCTTAATGCATGCACAGAAACAAACTGTAACTACAAACCTACACATCAGCAGCCTTACCTGGATTTCTTCACGCTATCACATACATTGTCTTTCCGCAAAGAATAATCAAAATGAATACACATCCTAACGCGCTACATGTTTCCAGTGAGCAATCAATATAATATCTACAAGCCAAGCGTCTTTAAAAACAGTCCTTTAATTGTATATAGGCCTAGTAATGTAAAATTATAGTTTACGTATTGAACATAAATATCTATGTCCATGCGCGAGGTCTACAGATGGAAGTATTGTCGATACACTGTCACTTCATTTCTGGTATTTTTTCCGTTCGTTTTGCGAATTCCAAATGTTTGTGACAACGAAGTTAAATAAAACCGGAGCATTTGAGTCTTCTTCCGAGAAGCAGCTGACTTCTGAAACCACTATAATATGGAGACATACTTGCTGGTCCTGTATCGGCGTTTTCCTAGAAATAAAAAAAGATAATTAAAATTTCAAACAAGATAATCGCTCTCCCGGTTAAAATTCGGACCACGGAATTCCGCAATACTAAACATGATTACGAACCTAACCTATACATATGTTCTCGATGTCGTAAACCAGCGTGTCGCATTCAAATGGACCTGATAATATACAGACCGTATGTTAAAAAATATTATTTGTTTCGTGGTTGATTTAACAACGTTTTCTCAACTGCAAGAGTAACACATTGTCCCTCCGTCGGTGAGGTCTCGATAATAAGTGGCTGCAGACTCTATTACGTTCCTACATCATCAGTAATAATTAAGACTTGTGTGACTCAACAGTCGTGAATAACCTGGCAGATAACGACATTATTACCACCGGCAGTCGAAGTTAAGGTTAAATCAATCACGTGATCAAAGAACCTACGCGGCAACAGCAATCCATTGTAACATGCATTATGCTTCATCGCGTTAAACCAATTTAGAACCTCAGCAGCGCAGAGGAAATAATTGGACATTGATACAGCTTTGCGAATGGCTAATTTCAGCGATGTGAGCGCACAGTTCCAAACTAAATGGCTCTCTTGCCAAAGAGAATACGATGAGGGCTGTTTATTTACGTGGTATTCTGTATAATTTATTTCTCCTGCAAGTTGCTATAGTTGGATTCAAAAGCAACAAACTGAAACCAAGCCTGTTCTGTCTGTACTTAACGAAATGCGGCGCTATGTATGTCCAAACATACACTTACCCGTCGCTAAGCACAAAGCAGGAAAACAAAACACACTGAGTGCAGTACAAACATTCATTCACAGATGACAGGAATAATCATCCCTGAACTCTACAGTTCTTAAACAAGATGATTCGTCTTCCTGCACGAAAAGATTATCGTCTCGAGGGAAAGCACAATGCAGCAGGGCTGTCCAATAGCGATTACAGAAGTTTGTTCATACAATTTAAATTCTATTGTAAAAGCAGATATAAAATCTCGTAATTTACATGTAAAAAAAAAAGTTCCAGTCTCAAATTCGTTCAATTGAAAAGCTAATAGTCGCTTACCTGGCCAAGAAATTCTCCACTTTTTATAGAACTCGGATTTTCATTACCTATGTTCTAAAAATCTGTCAGTGGGCCCTATCTTTAGCAAGGAGAATTCACTTCAAGCCCCTCCCCACCTCCAATCTACTTCTTTAAAACCCATTTTCATATTAATTATACGCCCACTTCAGTCTGATTTTCCAAAACATACCTTTCTTTCGGGTTTTCCAACAAAAACTACGATTGTATTTCAAGGCTTTCCATGCGTGCTACATGCCCCGCTCATCACGTCCTCACTGCTACTTATACGGACGCCTAAGGTACCTTGTCAAATCTATCCTTGAGATCGCATTATCTCTGCTCTGGGAGAACGAATTTTGATTGAATTTGTATGTTCAGATCCTTACTAAATACACTGAATCATCTGAAGAGGAGTAGAACTTCTTGTACGTTCTTCGTAACTCAAGCCGCTCTGATTCTAAGTTTCGCCCTTAATCTTTCTGGTCTAAGATGCAAAGTGTCTGGAACTAATCATTCCAAGTGAATCTCCTTCTGCCAGTCAACAACAGAACTTCTGACGGCCGGAAGCTACACGTAAGAAACCAGGATCTCTGAATGTAGATTTTATGATCATAAAGCAAATCTGTTGCTTCACATGCCTGTATCTAAAACAACGTATTCCATTAAATCTCAAACGTCTCGCAGAACTACTTTGATCTCTGTATTAATCCGTTGGCGTGCTGTGTACAAACCATTACTCAACTGAAAGGCAACGTCAGATTGTCGCCTCGGGAATATTTCAACAAATACAATACGTACTGGCAACATGCAGATTTCAGTGTGTCAGAAAGCTGAACTACCCATCCTATTCAGATCTGGTCAAACTCATTACAATTCCGTGTTATGTTTACAGAATACGGAAAATAAACGCATAATGGAGAGGTCAGCGTGCCAGAATGTTTCCTCTCCGAAACCGCTCAACTGACTCCGATAACGTTTTGTACTGACCGAACAAGAAGCTGTTAAGCGAATTTTGGCCCGCGTCGGTACAGTCGTATAAAGCAGCTTTACATTATATTTAACAAAGTACAAGAAATAATTTATTATTCAATCAGTTATGGTTAACTTCTCAACAAAATAACTGTAGAACGTAGAATACTTCTAGAACACAAACAGCGCCTGTACCTCGAGTTGGCACTAGTCTTCCACTAAAAGGCTCGTGGATCGATACTCGAGAAGTCCACTTGGGATTTCTGTTGCAAAGATATACTGGAGCAAGTTTTCTTTGAGTTTCCTTGGAGGTGCTTTGTTTACTGTTCGTTCATTCCATATCCCCCTCTCCAAATCGTTCGCCCACAAACTATACTGACGCTGAATAAACTAAAGAGTTCATACAGCGTTTCTATCTAGAGTTGAAACCTATATACAGGTTTCAGAAGAACATTCTGCCTCAGTTATCAGAGTTCAACCGTACAGGTGGAGATAGCAAGATAGTCGAAAGCGTTCTATACGATTACAAGATTACACGGCGTACCAACCCAGAAGACTACAGTCTAAATACTACGGACTTATTACTACGTTTCAAAAACTTTTTGGATGCGACTTGATATTGGTTAGCATCTCTTCTTCTTTTTCGAGTATTAACAGGTCTAAATCTCAGTCCAAAGTCGGGCTGTCGTGGCTTAGGGCTTTCGTGTTGTTACATTAATTACAACTTCCTTACTTCGTGCTCTATAAAAGATCAAAGAGTTTCAAAATTAATTTCGAAAACAAATTTTGACAATACACTCGTAGCTTATATGTACAACTGAAAAATAAACTATAATGACACCGTCAATTTGGTGACTCATAAATATAAAGAAACGAAAGTATGACCAACAAGCCTTTCAAAGATTTCAACCATGACTTATTAAGAACACAGCCCTTTTCTGCTCTATGGGACGTAATCACAAGATAACCTTCTATGACGTCAAGCTTAAACAATATGGCAGAGAATACAAAACCCAAGAACGCTTCCATTCACGGGTTTAAATTCGATCCAGGTAATTCATAAACCATTGTATGAATATGCAGACATCAATCCCTCCACACTTGTGTATAATTCGAAAAACCTTCTGTCACTGAATAATGAGGGAACGAAAATAATAATTGATCATGAAAATGAAAGCAAACCCCCAACTCATTCACACTCAGCAAAACAGCTACTTCTATGCATTTTTAAAATTACTGAGGACGAAGCCCGTCCGGGGGCAGCACTCTCCAAACGTAATTCGACCTCGCTATCGAGATGGGCCGCAATAATTTTCAGACAGCGGCTGCTGTACCACCGGGGTTACTCCAGGGTATGTTTCATAGCATAGCGTAGTTTGATGAATTACAAGACAAATAATTGTGCTTCATTATTTCAACTACTGCGTCGAATGAGGAAGATACCATGGTAATGAAATTGTGTAAGAATAGGTGAGGCAGCGAGCATTATCTAGTTGATAATACTTTTCCAACATTCGCCTCGAGAAACTTAGTAAAAAAAAAAAAAAAAAAAAACTCTCTTAGAATAGCTGCCATCACTACCGATGTTCAAACCAGTTAGTTCCAGAACACAACCCTACAGCGTCATCGCTACACCAGCCAGTGTTAAATGACGGATGATCGTCGTGGCGATGATGAAACATATCACCAATGCGTGGGCTCTAACCTCATACAGCTGAGACCCGTTCATTCTCCGGCAGTGGAAATGCTGTCGGTTGTCCGAGACGTCTCTACGGTCACGCCACAGATGGTGAGCGACCTTGGAAGACTTCTCTTCGTCGTGCTCTGTCTCTTGCCCGTCCTGTGGTTCAGCAAACGCAACTTCCATTGCTCACGGTGGGAACTCATGGGCTAATGGTTTGCTTTCATGGTTTGTCTGCTTCACTTCCACCGAAAAAAAAAAACAGCTTCTCTATGCTTCATGCTGCGTACACTACTGGGTAATAAACAAAGTAATTCTAGGTTTGAATTATGATAAAAAAAATATAAATATTGCTACGAAGAAATGCGTTGCATGGGAACCAGATGGACTCATCGCATGTGTCCGTGTCATCATGTAGTTTGGAATTTTCCTTCTCATAATTTTCGTTTTATGTTCCTACTGTCTCGATGAGAGCCAATAGAGTCTTGAAATCGGGAAGAACTGTATGGTTCGTCACTGCATCATCTCGATGCTGGTACACAGTTACTACAAGGAATTACAGCAATCGAAGAAATGGTCGACAGTTATTGAGGAGACCTACAAGAACAAGAAAGAACAAAAATAAATAAATAAATAAAATAAAATAATATAAATAAAAATGGAAACCCCCGAAAACTCGAAGATGATGAAACAAAGATACATGTATGCATATTACTAAATAATTCCATCGTTCAGTGGATACTACTATAAAGTCGACTAGCGTTTAAAATTGAATACAGAATTAAAAATGTTAGATTCAACATTATTTATGCAAGCATGAAAGTGGCAAAGTGTACGAGCAACAACAACAACGAGGACATGGTAATCGTTTATTCATACGACTCGTGTTCTTGTGAAATCAATCTGATGAAACTAATAATCCAGACAATTTGCTACGTTTCATCGGCTATAAACTAGTCATAACTTTAAAAAAATCAAATTATCTCAAAGCGTCATTAGAAAATTTGTTACTATTTTATACTAATACTATTTAATGCTTGAAAGTGTACAAATGGCAATAAGACTGTGGGCCTGGAAGTCTTAGCGACAATTAGGGTCACAGCAAAAACGGACAGGAGCAGCTTATACTGATGTTATTCTTGCGACGGAGTAAGCCTGTCTCCGTTGAAATGGTCCTCAGACGGGCTCTTTGTGCAACATCAAGATGATAACGCACTTGAGTGAATATGAAGGGGATAAATCGAATGACCTGTCCGTGCCATTCTGTCCACCGCAAATGCGAACCCAGGTCTCCGCTGCAATAGGAAGCACTGGTACAGACGACCGGTAACTTACAAAACTGGATGACAGCAGGTGATGATAGGCAGTTCAATAACAAGCACAGATACCAGCCAATATATTCATGGATCGGGAGAAAGCGAAAAGAGGATTATAAACGAATAACTTGTAAGAGTTACATTAGTATAATGCAGTAAGCACATCAGTGATTGAATCTTGTTATACCACACTGAAGTTTGTTCAACCGAACTAGATGCATGATAACTCTCGCATAAATAAACACAAACGA